TGTCACATTTAGAAAAAGTATACTAAGAAGTTTTTAATTTTTTTGAAGTGTCACATCGTTGGAGTGTCACATTAATACTTGTTACATTAGAGTATCACATCATACCTGTCACATTAATAAAAGGGTATAGCTGTCCACCAAAACACTACCAAAATAAAAAATAGGACCACGCGGAAAAAAACTCTCCACTAATTGGACTTAACAGATTAATAGAAAAAACTTGGAACTAATTGGAATACTTGTTTGTGAGATGGGATTTATTAGTAAATATCCCTATATTTTATTCACATTTTACTTACTTTTTCTCTTTCGCTTTTTAAATCTCTTTTTAAATCTTCTAACCAAACACCAAACACAATGTGGAAATCTCTTTTTAAATCTTCTAACCAAACACCAAACACAATGTGGAAATCTCTTTTTAAATCTTCTAACCAAACACCAAACACAATGTGGAAATCTCTTTTTAAATCTTCTAACCAAACACCAAACACAATGTGGAAATCTCTTTTTAAATCTTCTAACCAAACACCAAACACAATGTGGAAATCTCTTTTTAAATCTTCTAACCAAACACCAAACACAATGTGGAAATCTCTTTTTAAATCTTCTAACCAAACACCAAACACAATGTGGAAATCTCTTTTTAAATCTTCTAACCAAACACCAAACACAATGTGGAAATCTCTTTTTAAATCTTCTAACCAAACACCAAACACAATGTGGAAATCTCTTTTTAAATCTTCTAACCAAACACCAAACACAATGTGGAAATCTCTTTTTAAATCTTCTAACCAAACACCAAACACAATGTGGAAATCTCTTTTTAAATCTTCTAACCAAACACCAAACACAATGTGGAAATCTCTTTTTAAATCTTCTAACCAAACACCAAACACAATGTGGAAATCTCTTTTTAAATCTTCTAACCAAACACCAAACACAATGTGGAAATCTCTTTTTAAATCTTCTAACCAAACACCAAACACAATGTGGAAATCTCTTTTTAAATCTTCTAACCAAACACCAAACACAATGTGGAAATCTCTTTTTAAATCTTCTAACCAAACACCAAACACAATGTGGAAATCTCTTTTTAAATCTTCTAACCAAACACCAAACACAATGTGGAAATCTCTTTTTAAATCTTCTAACCAAACACCAAACACAATGTGGAAATCTCTTTTTAAATCTTCTAACCAAACACCAAACACAATGTGAGAGGAGGTTATCTAAGGGTCATCATCGAAGTTCAGCATCTATGTACAGGAATTTGTGTCTTCATATAAATAATGAATTTTCCACAAATACATACGTATATTTGTTTAACTTTCAGATATTGTATTGACATAATTAGATGTACTGGTATGTCTTGAACTTTTAAATACTTCTTATTGCAGAAGATGTGTGTTTTTCCTGCACTCTTAAATTTTTCCTTCACCTATCACTCTCTTATGCATTTCATGTCTAAATTTACCGCGTTGTTGGTATTAGAAATTGATGTGTTTTTCTTCTTTTTACAAAGAAAATGATAGTTTAATGAGTGCACCATTAGGCCATGTAATGTTTCACATCACTTCCCAAATGATGATGCCTATTTTGGGAAGTGGGTTAAAAATCACTTTCCAACTTTTAACCCACTTCACTCTCTCAGAAAAAAGTCAAAAAATAACTTTTAATCATCTTCCTAAAACACTCCATACATAATATTAGTTCCTTAGTTATGGGAAACAACACCTGACTTATGCCACGCAGTATTCTAAAACCGTGAATAATATATCCCTTTAAAAAGATTGTTAGCTTATACATGATCAAAATTCTGTATTCCCTAGATCATCTAGGCAAAATTCAAAATGTAGATCTCTATCAAAGGTAAATTGAGTTTCTGCAGCTGCATCTGCTCGATAAAATCATCAGATCGTTGAGTTCAAACGTGCCACAGAATGATACCATGGAAGCCATTCTATATCATCCATTATGCATCATAACAATGGAAGATGGCAACTTTGATGAGCACAGAAAGAAGAGTATTCAGCAGAAATAAACAACCACCAGAATATAATCAAAAAATTTCTCATTTCTATTGGCAATGCATCCAAAAATATCAAAAATTCACTTAGCTATACCCAACATCAACGGTCTTGACAACTTTATATTCCCCTCCGGACTATTTTGTGACAAATTTGGTTTAGTATAAAGCTTTCTACACTATGATGTCAAAGTATGCGCGCCAAGCCTCTTCCAAAACGTTTTCTGCATCTCCTAAATGTTATTAACTTCTTTTCTTTTTGTTTTTTCCATCGCAATTGTCAGTCTTCACCCTACAGTTTTGAATTGAAACCAATGAAGCAATCAATTTTAACCACCGGGTCATATAATCAGGGACAAGTATCAGCGTTTAAAAGCCAAGCTGCAAATTAAATCCAGTGAGTCTTGTCAGAATGTTGGAAGTAAGGAAGGAAAGGAAAAAATAATAATAGTAAAATAAAATTAGCAACAAGAGAGTCAAAATTGAACACAAGGAGCTACTTGACAAGCATAAATTGAAGCAAGGATTCAAAACTGAAGCCTAAATTTTCCACCAAAATAGATATATATATATATATATACTATCATTTATCGAAAATGTAAAATGAAGAAGAGTTTGAAGTTCATCAAAATGACAGACCATGGACCAAAGAAAAGTGATGATAACTTTTTCTGCTTAAAAAGGATTATTAAAAAACCAAAAAAAGAGAAATTAAATTCAAAGATGTTATTAGACCTTTAACATTTAAATCAGTTACATATGGGAGTGGAGAATGGAAATCGAAAAACCTTGAAATAGAAAAACCAATTCTAAGCTCCGCTTTTCAACCCAATATTAAGTAATGGTAGTAAATGTCAATTACTGTATGTGTTCTTTAAAGTTGTCTCTTCAATAATGCAGAGGATGGATTCATCCTGAAATATAACACCAAAATGTCATCGTGAAATCAACAACGTGTCACAAGTATGTTCAACTAAATCAAAATCAGTACTTACGATTGGAATAGCATAAACTCATTGGTCTTCACCATTTGCATTGTTTACTTGCACATTTTTCAAAACATCGCTATTAATCTGCTGAAACTCCCGCTGTGGCAGAGACTGTTTTACTGAATTAAAGCTTCAGAACTTTGAAACAAAAAATTAGGGAAAAAAAAAAAAAAAAAAACAACGATGGTGAAAGTAGAAAAATGAATGCAGGTTTAAGAACAAAACATATGGTGTCATTCTTGAAGTACATCACAATATTCAAACAATCTAACAAAATTTACAAAAATTCCACAAGTTGATAAAAACACAAAACTACATGTACTATTCTTAAGGGTAAAACACTTGATATAAAATTCCATCAACATTTAGCACTTAACTAAAAATCAAAACCAAAATCTCTCTTATCTCGTATGATCATCAATTTCATATAGAGTCGATGTTCTATATGTAATTATGTGTGGCCACTTTGTTCCTCGGGACAACACTTTGGAAAATTTAAAATCTACTTGAAACAGTAAAAGTTGCTGACTATTGTTATTCCCAATTTGGATAGTGGTGTTTATGATGGGTTCAACAGGAGAAAGAACCAAAATATTAGGGATGGTGTGTTACTTCAAGCATTCTCAAAATGAAACCCAACAATAATTTTTGTTAAAATTGTGAAGTAATGAAATGTAACCAATAAAGGCAACAAATTAATTTAATATCTAATTTGACCTAAACTTGAGTTTGGCACAAGAACCTCATAAAATTCATTAAAATACAATAATTACAAGGGAGCTATTTAAGTGGGGTTGCACACCATATGCAACCTAATTATTAACCCTTGGATTACAAATAATTGATCAAGACCATTGAATTGTTTAATGGTAAATAATTGGAAATCAGGGTAGCCGGTTAACCCTCCTATTTCCATCTCAATTCCCTCACTCTCTCTATTTCGTCTCTCCCTCTTCTTCTCTTCATTTGTGTAAGGTTCAATGTAACCCTTGATTTCCATTAACAACAAGAAGCCTCTGCTGGGTTTCATTGTTGAATCTTTGTATAACCCTTGATTTCCAGCAACAACGGAACTACAAGCCGCTGTTGGGTTCTATCGTTGAAGCGAAGGCATTCTTTCCAACTAGATATCAAGTATGGAGCTCTCTCTCTCTCTCCTCGCTTCCTTTCACTTCAGTGATTTTCCCCCAACCAAACTCTCATCCTAACTTCAATTCTTCTACGATTCGCTCAACCCGAAACCCCTCCTTTTGCAACAATAACCTCCCTTTCTTTCTCAATCGATTTCTGGGAAAGCCCTAACTCTCTCTTTCTCTGTCTCTCAATCGAATTTTGGCATGCGCTAATTGCCTCTTTCTTTTCATGATCAATCGATTTCTCCATCTCATTCACACTTCTAAAATCAATTTTATTTGTGCTTCTTGTAGCCATAGTTTTATTTTTTAAGTTTCTTGTAGAGTATGTGGTGATTTAATAATTCACACATTTGTGGAGTAGTATCAATTGAGGTCATTGTGTGTTCGCCTGTTGAATTATTTTTTCATGATTTTGTTGTTGTGTTTATTGTTGAAGTTTGTAATTAGTGTTTTTTTTTTGGGGGGGGGGGGGTTAAAAATGGTGGTTACATGGTTTGAGCAATCTAATTTGAACAAATGAAACCCTACGATTTGAGATAAATTGCAATGTATGTGCATACATAAACCCCCATTACAAAATTGCAATCTCTTTCCCATGCCAACCTATCTCCTTCAACTAAATGCAGATTTTTTTATTATGGAATTTTATTTTTTTTTTTTAATTTTTTATTATGATACCCTTTTTAAGTTATTTTTGGACTGCTTTTGTTGAGTTTATGTATGTATTGGATTATAATTGTTCAATTGTAAGTTTTTTATATGGTAGATTTTTTTATTGATTGAAAAAAAATAAAATAAATAAATGATGTATCTTAGGTCCTATTTGAGATATTGTAGCCTAGATTCCTGAACATTTTTAGTTAAAAAAATAAAATAAAATAAAAATTCTGAGCATTTGTTTGCATTGCCGAGGGAGGAGACTTTTATGCACAAGTTAGTTTAGTTCTCTCTTTATGTACTTTTTTCAGAAAGCAGACGAATATTAAAAGATATTTGTTGGTATTTATGTGAGATTCATTCACTAGATTAAACAAATGCTTTACTCTATGTTCTTTGCTTTTATTGTTTGTAGGATTATATTTTGGGAGAAATTGCTTTAAATAGTTTCAAAATTAAGGTTGTGTTTGGAGAAGCTCTCCAAATATATTTTTACCCATTAATTTTAGTGTGATATTTGTTTTGAGCTTTCAAATTGTAATTCTACATCCACTTTAAAAACTTCTTCCTAGGTGGAAAAATTTGGTTAATCCGGATGTTTGGCTAGTTGAACGGAACAATGTTTGCTTTTTTTTTTGGGTAATTATTTTTATATTTTCAATAAAAAATATTTCCAAATTTTTTAATTTTTTTTTTATGAGATTTGAATAAGATTTTGAGTTATGTATTTAGTTATAAGTTGTAAATTGTTGAATTAAATATCATATGTCATATCATTTATTTCAAATTCAATTCAAAACTCTTTTCAAAACTTATAACCAAATAAATTTTTCATACTCAAATTATAATTTCAAAACTCACAAACTCAAAATACAACACTATTCTCAAATCATATTTAGAAAACTCAACCAAACGCTACTTAAGATTTTTTCTTGGCTATCTTAAATATATTTTTATTCTCAAATGAATAATGTTATAATGACCATCTATTTCTATCATTTTTATCTTATCATATGATGTATCAATTTAGTTGTCAATGCAACAATAATACATGTATTAGTAGTGAAGATCTATTACCATATGATGTGTCAATCTAGTTAGAGTGATCCTGGAGACCTCCAGTGACTAGGCACTCCAGCACCATCCAATGCCACATGGCACACTGCCAGTGGCTGAAGTCAAAAAAAAAAAAAAAAATTTATTTTCCAGCCAAGCAGCAAGGACCCCAGCACCCCCACTGGGGGTCCAACGCATTTTCCATTTAGTTATCAATGCAATATGTATTAGCAGTGAAGAACTATTACACTAATATTAAGCTGATAAATAAAATATTGTACAAAAATATCACAAGCGTAATATTATTGTTCCTATAAAATGTAATAAAATTATAATGTCACTCGCTACAAGAAAACTGGTGTTGTTTTGTATAGGGGAAATTACCCATAGGTCCCATGGGAAACATGTGATCTCCATTTAATCCCATAACTTTTTCACTACACCCAAAAGTCCTTTCCTCTCTCTCTACTTTTTGCTTCCCTTCCTCTCTCGTTTTTTTTTCTACATTTTTCTGTCACCGTGTTTGTCATGGAAGAGGACCACCGGAATCTAATCATCTAACAGACAATTTACTAAAAGCCATAACATCTTTTATATTTAGCTTGTATACACACACATAACCAAAGTTCTCAGTAACAACGAGGGCATACATATCATATTCATATTTAACCAAATAATAACTCCAACAAATACTTTCCTATGTTCCTTTTTATTATATTAATTTAAATTTTTCGACAAAGGGCCCAAATAAGTTGAAACTAATGCATTTAAATATAATCAATTTCATTTGTACAAATAACAAAACCCTGCAAAAACCCTAATTTTTTTTTTAGGAAATTGAAGGAATAACCTTAGCAACAGTAGTTTCAATCCTTTCGTGTTTCACCAACTGCGAAACCATTGTTCTGCAAAAAAAAGCCAAATCAAAATGAGAAACAATGTAAGATTTAAACCCTAGAATACAGAGAATGAGCTGAGATATGAACCTGAGCATAGACATTCGGTGACCGGTGGGACGATTGAGCTTCCTCATCTTCGTTATAGTGATCGTTCACAAACACAAAAGAGAGGAAGTGAAAGCTACAAGTGATAAAAACACCAACAGAGATGTAAATTAGGGTGAAAACTTTCAAAACCAATTAGGGCAAAGAAATTGTAGAAACTAGGGCAAAGAAAATGCGATGAAGAGAGAGACAGAGGACTCACCGGATGTGGTGTGTGCAGCCGTATGGGATCGTCGAAGAAGAAAAGAAGTAGTGATGAACTGTTACTCGTGCCAAAACTTTGGTTTTTGCAATTTAATCCCCACATTTTTTGTTTTTTTGTTTTGTTTTTGTTTTTATATATATATATATATATATATATAAAAACAAAAACAAAACAAAAAAACAAAAAATGTGGGGATTAAATTGCAAAAACCAAAGTTTTGGCACGAGTAACAGTTCATCACTACTTCTTTTCTTCTTCGACGATCCCATACGGCTGCACACACCACATCCGGTGAGTCCTCTGTCTCTCTCTTCATCGCATTTTCTTTGCCCTAGTTTCTACAATTTCTTTGCCCTAATTGGTTTTGAAAGTTTTCACCCTAATTTACATCTCTGTTGGTGTTTTTATCACTTGTAGCTTTCACTTCCTCTCTTTTGTGTTTGTGAACGATCACTATAACGAAGATGAGGAAGCTCAATCGTCCCACCGGTCACCGAATGTCTATGCTCAGGTTCATATCTCAGCTCATTCTCTGTATTCTAGGGTTTAAATCTTACATTGTTTCTCATTTTGATTTGGCTTTTTTTTGCAGAACAATGGTTTCGCAGTTGGTGAAACACGAAAGGATTGAAACTACTGTTGCTAAGGTTATTCCTTCAATTTCCTAAAAAAAAAATTAGGGTTTTTGCAGGGTTTTGTTATTTGTACAAATGAAATTGATTATATTTAAATGCATTAGTTTCAACTTATTTGGGCCCTTTGTCGAAAAATTTAAATTAATATAATAAAAAGGAACATAGGAAAGTATTTGTTGGAGTTATTATTTGGTTAAATATGAATATGATATGTATGCCCTCGTTGTTACTGAGAACTTTGGTTATGTGTGTGTATACAAGCTAAATATAAAAGATGTTATGGCTTTTAGTAAATTGTCTGTTAGATGATTAGATTTCTTGCAAGATTAAAAAACGACTGGAGTTTCGGACTTGGTTTAATTGGTAATGTAATTGATATGTTTTTCATTGTGCTTATTTTTATCTATCTGTAGGCAAAAGAAATCCGTTGTCTTGCTGATAACATGGTACAACTCGGAAAAGAGGTGTGTACAGCATCATCATATATTTTACTTTTGAGCCTTGTTTTTCTTCTATGTAAAATTAGAAGAGTTTATTCTTCTTTTTAAATATTTTTGACACAGTGAGAATAAATATGATTTTTTTTGTTTGTTTGTTTGTTTTTTAATTTTAGAATTTTCTAAACATTTGTCAATTAACGTTTTATATTTCGTGCAAGAAATGCTTCCTTTTCTCATTTCATTAATTTTTGCAAAAGATAGCTATTATGGTGTTCCACCAATACCCTTACAGGTTTGGGTTGCAATGAATGTGTTATGTGTCATATGAATTTCTACTATAATAAATCTGAAATAGTGGCTATGTGGGTGTCAAGTATTGAATGATGATTAGTATAATTATCTTTAAAAGAGGGGGAATTTGTAATGTTATTTGGTCTTGAGGAATACAGTATTTGGTCACCGTATGAGGAGCGTGTACTAAAGTTCCTGGAGTTTGCAGTGCATTTTATCCCTTCTCTCGAGGATTGTGCATCAAATGCCCTTGAAACATTGTTACACTGATCATGGATAAACACGGAAAGCTCACCTTTTGCTCTTTTGGGCTCAAAATATCACTGAATGTTAATAAATGGGGGTTTTCTATCGATTTGTTAAAAACGAGAAGCTTTGTTCAAAGAGTTTTGCCTTTATCATTGAAGTTAGAATTTCTTCTACAATCTGTATGCCTAATTGATTTGGATTGAAATTGGATGATTTTGGGATTTTAAAATATTGAAGTGAGGTAGCTGACTTGATGTCTAAGAAGACGCATGAACACCGACACACGACATGGACAGATGTCAATTTTCAAAAAATACAAGGCACGGCAAGTGGGGTGCGCACAAAATATATGGTTTTATATAATTATTATAATGTCATATATATAAATATTTCATTCAAAGATAACAAAAATGCAACACAGCACTAATTTATTAAGTTTAAAGGAAGAGGAATTAATATATATAAATCTATATATATTTTTTTGTATTTTTGTGTGTTAAGTTATTTTGTTCAAACTTATAATGTCTTTTATGTGTGTAAATAATAAACACGTGTGTTCCCCAAGTGTTTGAAGCATGTTTGTGAGTATATATATATTTTTTTAGTGACATTTGGATGTGTGTTTGACACATGTCAGGAAGTGTCCGATGAGTGTCAATGCAGGAAATGGACACACACCTCCGTAAAAGTGTCTTTGATTTTTAGAGTGAATATTAGACTTGCGGGGAACTTGCTTTTTCATTCCAAATATTTGCATCGGTTATGGCTAGTTAAATATTCCCTACCTGTTTTAAGATGGACAAAGACGACAATATATTTCTGTCTATGTATTCATTTATGCATATTATAGACCAATTTTGCTATAGCCCTAAATCATGATAAAGGGCAGTCATTGGCTCAAGGGACTTATTACCCAATTTGGACCCCATTCGATCATAGGTGGGCGATTTAGCAACTTATGTAGCACTTTTGTATAGGTTAACATTAGAAACAAGTTTTTGATAATATTGTGAATGTGTTTTTTAGCATAGTGGAGTGAGATTTCACAATTCTTTGGGTGTGTGCTTTGAAAAGAAAGATTGCACACTAATAGCTGGAATTTCTGCTTTGAAGTGCATATTTTATGAAAGCTTTTAAAACTTGTTATTATTATATATACTTGAAATACAATTTTATTTCTATAATGAGTATGAACTCTTCCTTGATAGTGAATGAAACAAAAGTTGTTAAATGATTAGATAAATCAGTATTAAACTACTTCATAAATTTTATGACTTCTATTTCTGAAATAATACTGAAAAACCTGAAAGCTTAGGCATATGAAAGTTGTATTGAACACTATTGATACATATCCTTCTGAATTTATCACAGGGTACTCTTTGTGCTGCAAGGCGTGCTGCTGCCTTTGTGCGGGGAGATGATGTCCTTCATAAGCTATTTACAGAACTGGCTTATCGATACAAGTGAATTCCATACATCTTTCTTTTCCAGTCTTTGTTGGTGTATGGTTGTAATATTTGCTGAACTTTTCTGTGCTGCAGAGATAGAGCAGGTGGATACACAAGACTGCTCCGAACTCGCATACGAGTTGGTGATGCAGCACCAATGGCCTATATTGAGTGAGATTCTTGTTTTGATTTTGTTGCAAATCTTTGAAATAGAACTGCGAAATTTGTCTGCCATTTGTGTTATCTATTAGCATCTTTATTTTATTTTTTTGTTTTTGTTTGAAACACCATACTGATAATTTCTGCATTTGCTTATTAGTGGCAAGCACAAAATTTATGGGGTTGTGATATGAAAGGGTGTTGAATGTAAATGTCAATCAAGCATCCAAGAAGGGTTGGTTGTGCTGACATTAAATTTTTTTTCTTAAATTAGAGACGCATCCAGAATTGTTGATCACCTCTTAGGAGTTTCAAAGAAGTGTTCTGTGTACTGATTTTTTTATTGAAATAGCAAAGTTAAATATGGTGTCAACTATCATTGCTTTCTCACAGTCAGTCCATATTTTTCTAAGCATTTTTGTTTGGTTCTTTTTTAAAAAAAGAAGGCTTGTTATGTTTATTTAATTATGTATTTTCATTTGTAACAGGTTCATAGATAGAGAGAATGAGCTCAGACAGGCAAAACCACCAGCCCCCCAACCACCACAGAGACCACCTTTGGATCCATGGACGAAATCCCGGCTTAGCAGGCAGTTTGCACCCCCCAAAGAGGATAAAAGTTCTGAATCTGATGCTTGAAATATGTTCTTAAATTTGTCATTCATAGATTTTTTCTTCTCTTTCATTTTATTTTGGTCATGTTATATCGTCAAGCTCCTCAAAGGTGGAAACATTCAAGCTTTAGAATTGTGAAGCAGAATTTTGATTAATTGACAAAATAATGTCGACGCAACTATTTCAGTAGTGCTAGTAATTTTTGAAGGCTAGGTTTAAGCTCTCTTATGGAGTGCCTTTGGGACTTTGAAGCTAAAATGTAGGTTGTGTTTCAGAATATGTTTGAGCTTTGACTGGTTCTTCTATATGGGATTGCATACAAAGCATTGTTGAATTATACAAAGCCAAAATAAACTTCTCTTAATCATGCTTTTACCAGCTATTCTTCTAGATTTCAATTTGGATGTATGATGGTTTAATTCTCTCCAATTAGTTTATTGATTGTACTCTTAAGATGAGAAGTTTAGGGCTAGTTGTGTCAGTCTGGTTCTGGTTTGAAAAATATGGTATTTTCATCTGCTGAGTTTCTTGAAAAATAAGGTATTTCTGGATCTTTGTTTTTCCTTCTGCAAAAGTGTTTTTTTATTTTGGACTCCCAAATTTGGGTGTTTAAGCAATTTGTCTTTTTGTGTCTTTTTTATTTTTTATTTTTATTTTTTTTTATGCATTAGTACTTTAGAATATTTGAGCAATCAAAGGAGGATGTGGTCACCTTTCAAATGCCTAATGTTCTTTTCCAATTTTCTACACTTCCAAACATTATCATAGTAGTAACCGACACAATATTTTACTTTTATAAAAGAAAATAATTCATAGAACTCTATAAAGCTGTGATTGGATTTAAAATTTGTGCAAGGAAAAGGAAATGAAGTAAAAAAATATATATCCTCCATTTTTTGAATAAATCTAAAATTTAAACACAACATAAATTGCATTGATGAATGTTTTCTTCTCCACTCTTTAGTCATAAACTTGCTTAGTATGCTAATTATCATCACACTAAACCTTAACTATTCACTTGGTGGTATTCCACAAACATTTTAATATGAAATTGAGTCTTCTTATTTGGTCAATACTATCATTGGAAACCAAGTCAAATGAGTATTGGGTCATGATCATTACCATTGAACAAACAAATTCAAGTAATATATGACTCTCGCAATACATGTTCCAAAGATAATGATTTTTAATAATTTTCATGATGCCTTCTTATTCATCCACTTACCAAACACTACACATAACATAATTGTCATAATATTTATTTTTTATTTTTTATTTTTTCCTTCCCTTTCCTTGGTATGAAATCTTCTGTTTCAAAATTCTCTTTTCCCTTAAATCCAAAACATTTAGAATTATTGAATATATGTATATATATATAAGGAAAGTGTTGGAAAGTTTCCTTCCCTCTCTTTTGTTTAGCCGGATGTGCAAGGCCTTGTACATTTTCTTAAACACTATGGCGGTGTTTGGGAACCGTGGCTACAGACTATTTTGGCCTCAAGTAAAAAAAAAAAAACAAAAAAAGCCTTTTAGCCACACTAACCCATTGATTTAAAAAAAAAATTTAAAAGAAAATAAAATAAAGAAAAGGCAGTGGCTGTCATGCACGGACAGCCTACACTGTGACCAATATAGTGTAGGCTCAGGCTACTACTATCATCCCACAGGTAGTTAAATTACCATTTTACCCCCGTAGATAAATTTTGGAAAAAATAAGATTAGGGGCAAATCTGTCATTTCAACCTCAAATATCATTTCAAACACATTTTTCAACACAACAACCAACCCAAAAATTTAACCCAACTTTCCAAACATAAAAACTAAAATAGCCTATTAAAATAGCTAAAAAACTAAAAAGCCTTTAAAATAGTCACTTCCCAAACACCCACTATATATGTATATATGTTTGCAAGGTATCCCTTCGGCCACTGGCACTCATCGAAAACTTCTCAATACGTGTTCAACACTCATCTAAATGTGTTTTATTTTTCTTAAAAAATGATTTAGACTCAGACACTCTTTAAACACTTGGAAGACACATATCCATTGATTAGACACACACGAAACAAATTGTAAGTATGGACAAAATAACTTAGAATACGTTGATAAAAGGAAAAAAAATATCAGTTTATGAAAATTAGTGTTATATTGCATTAATTTATGGGAGATTTGGTGATAGATCCCTGAGTATCTAACTTGTCCATCAAAATGACAAGAATTATATGGATCCTTTCAAAACCCCTTAGCATTTTAAAAATTATTTATTTTACTATAATACCCTCATATATATATATATATATATAGGATCTACAACCCCTCTCTCTCATATCAATCTCTCTTCTCTCTGTCTCGCTCTTACCACCAGCGCTACTGCCAGTCACCATGGAAATCTTTGTCTACCTTTTAAATCGCCACCGTTGCTTGTCACATCCACGACCTTAGATTTGAGATCATTCAGAATCGTTGTCATTGGAAAATGATGGTTCGCGACAGTTCGCAAACCTCAAATTTGAGATCTTTCACTCACTCTCTCTCTCTGGTTCTGACGGTTCGTGCTCTCTCTCTATGTGTGTGTGTGTGCCACTGACCATTTATGCTCTCTCTCTCTCTCTCTCTCTCTCTCTCTTTTCTTCTTTTTCTTATGTTGCTATGTTTTCGAAATCTATCTCCCTATCTCTCTCTCTTCTCCTCATGATGATCTATTTTTCGAATAGTAAACTTTTACTCTAGTTCGTGACGCAACGCACTCCTTTAAAGCCATCCTTGCAGCCTATTTCAAAGTAAAATTGTACTTTGAATTATAGTAAATTTTACTTAATCAGAGTAAAGTTTACTATGATTCAAAGTGCAATTTTACTTTCGTTAAGTAGATCAACATGATTTTAACCAGAGTAAAATTTTACTGTTACAAAAAAATAAAATACATACTAAATGAACGAACTAGAGTCAAATTTTACTTTTAGATCTATAAACAAACAAACAAAAAAACTCTTGATTTTTCATTGCAATCTCTCAATTTCTCATTTTTCTGTCAAATCTAAATTCATGTATCTCAAATTTGAAGTTATGGATTTCAAATATGAGTTTGTAGGTATCAAATTTGAGATGGTTGTGTGTGTAATTTTTTTTTTTAAGTTTGGAATAGTATTTTTTTGGAAACAATTTGAAAATTGAAAAGTAGTTTGCCTATGTTTTAAACAAAGATAGAAAGAAAAAAAAATTGAAAACACAATGAATAAAAAAAATTATTCCTTTTTTTGTTTTCGTTTTCTGACTTTTTTATTAACCTGTTAAATTAATGTGCAAAAAGAAACAATAAACTTTTCTTCTAAAGAACACAAAGTCGTAAAATTTTTATTTCATATATTTAAAATGTATACAAAAATTTATATAAAAAGAATAAATTTATACTTAGAATGATAATCTATATAATTTAAATTCAAATTTGTATTGTGAAATTCACATCTATCTATTCTATGTATAAAGCATTTAAAATATATGTGAACAAAATTTATAAACAAATAAAATAAAAATATACTCACAAAGATAATATATACACAAAATATGTACTATTCTTTTTATTTTTTGTATATTTTTCAATCAACATAATGAGTAAAATGAAAATGGAGTTTTTTTTTATTATTTTATTTTACTTTTTGCAATGAACGTAATGAATAAATAAAAACTATTAAAGAATTAATTTATACAATAAAAAAAAAAAAACAAACAAACAAAAGTTTTAGTCATTGAGAATTTTTTTTAAAAAAATCCAACTCTCTTAGATCACTTACAGTCAAAGAAAAACAAAAGATAAATATTGATAACTACTTGAAAAGTTACTTTTTGAACAACACAAAGATGTAAAACAATCTTGGAAAAAAAAATCATGTATAAGTTGTGAGACAACCTTTAAAAAAAAAATGTATAAATTTGTGTAAAACAACTTGGAAAAATAATAGGAATACAAATTCTATAAATATAAATTCTACACAATTACTCATCAAATGGCCAACTCTTGTATAGGTTTGTACTTTGCTTTTCTGCTTCCTCTGCAAACTCATTCAAAACCTCTAAATTTTGGCCCCAAAAGACCTCTCTTTGAATCTCTAAATCTAATAATTGTTATTCTTTTATTACATCTCTTTCTTCCTCAATTTCGTATTTTTCTTCAATCCATTTGAGCATCTTCAATAGACTCAATCACCTTCTATGAAAAATCAAAAAGTTAAAAAAAAAAAAAAAATCATGTAGTAGAATGATATTAAAAAGGAGAGGAAGAAAAAAAAAAAAATTTATACCTGAAAACCAAAGGCAAATAAACAAAAGTTTTAGTCATTGAGAATATAAAAATTGAAAACTGTTAGATCACTTACCATTAAAGAGAAATAAAACACAGTCTTCTATTGGTTTGTACTTCCTTTGCCATAATTGAATGAAACACTTTTGTACTTTCTTTAAAAGAGAAAACTATTGTAGAAAGAGAGGAAGAAAGCAAAAAGTAAAAAAGAAAAATAATAAAAGTAAGTTATTAGAGAAGAAAAGAAGTTACTAGGGAATAGTTATTTGGAGAATGTGATTTAGTGGGAAGTTATTGTAGAATAATTTTTTTTTTTATTATTATGTAAATGCCATACGGCAAAGGCTTCAAGAAACCAAAATAGGGCTCACTTAATATAATAGTATAGATAATTATGAGGAGGTTTTAAAAGTACTATAATTTTTTTTGTCCTTTTAACAAGAAAAGGAAGCTAGGAGGGGTTTATGGCCAAATTTCCTTTAATTTATTATCTTGGAATCATAAATCATAACATATAATAAATATATAAAATTATATATTATGTGCATGTCCCCTACATGTCATGTCTGACATTTAAAAATTGTTGTGTGTGTATTCATGTCATGTCACATGTCCTTAATTTTTTGGTAGGAAGAGGTGGTGGTTGCATTGCTAGTGATTATCGTGATATTAATATGCCATGATAATGTTCTTATAGGAGTCAATCATAGCAATATTGATTAATTATTCTCTCTAAAAAACTATTTGAGTTTGGTCCTAGTGACCTTGCTTCTTGTTGTTAAACCTTGGCTTTGCCCTTGGTTGTCTTGCCCTTGGTGGCCTCGACCTTGTGATGGCCTCCTTGACCTTGGGTTGGCTTTAAACTTCCTTAGCTTTGCCTTTTGGCCTTGTCCTTGGGGTGACCTTAGATTTCCTTTCCCTTGGGGTGGCCTTGGATTTCCTTGATTGGATGTGTTGGCCTTGGCTTGCCTTTGCCTTAGATTGCCTTTGCGTTGTCTGCCTTTGGTGTGCTAAAATTTGTTCATTTGCTTTTGTTGGATAGTAAAGCATTTGTTAAAACTTCATTATGCATAGGTCTGGAATAT